AGTATAGTATAGTATAGTATAGTATAGTATAGTATAGTATAGTATAGTATAGTATAGTATAGTATAGTATAGTATAGTATAGTATAGTATAGTATAGTATGGTCGTATAGTATAGTATAGTATAGTATAGTATAGTATATTATATCGTTATTGCGCCTTAGTGAGTGATCGAGTGCCATTCGAGTACCTCCAAAAGCCCATGGCATGACTACGTCATCCATGAGCTAAAACTAGGTTTTGTCACCTTAGACCCACGCGTGACTCAGACAAACTTTCCATCCTACTTAAACTGAGCTTTGTATGAGCAACATGCGTTTACGACATTAAAATTGTTCATAAAATTCGCAGTGAGCGTTTTAAGCATGTTTTTTGAGAATAATTTGGAGAAAAAAGCAAAGAATAATGAATAATCGTGATCCAATTATTTAGCTTCCACCCCCGAGTTTTTAGAGCTTTATTTTAAAAATATAAAATGCATTACTGCTATAGGGAGCAAAACCTTGTCCAAGTAACTCTAATAAACGGTTAAAATCAGAAAATAAAGCGACTTGATCAAAGCAGGCTACCGAGATCGGATACCCAGCTTTGTCTTAGTCAGATAGCACTCCTCTAAAAGAGAAAATCGAGTTTGTATGTGCTTCTCGCAAGCCTATGGCAGAATTTCTAAGCAAAAGAGCACACCAACATTAGCACGGAAATTCTGTTGTTGTGCGGCCAGGTTAGATACCAAACATAAGCACTCAAACAAAAATTGAGCAACCTTTGCCTATAAATTTAACCTAATGCACCCTCTTCTGAACAGTTCTGACGCCCTGCTCTCCATACATTTCTTAGTAAAATGCCGTAACATTATTTTACCCCCAGTAATGACACCGCATGAGAAATAAAATCACTCATCTGTACACGTTGATTATTTTCAGGATATATGTTATCGAAACCAAGCTGGATTTTGTTTCTTTTGACGATAAAAATCTTCAAAGACGACGAGAATTTGTTAGTGAAAGTGACTTTCCCATACAAAACTCTTAGTGCTGAGGTTCAATGTCTGAGTCACAGCAGGGACCAGAAATTTGTGACGTCATTAGTACAAAGCGCTATTACTGCGGGCCTGTAACAGTCCCTCACCCCCAATGAGAGATAGACCCCCACACCGAAAGTACTCTATGGGAACAGTGTGTGGGTTCTTTAACGTCCCAGAGAATTTATATGTTGGCAAGATTTGTAAGACGGGGGCCTATGGTTTAACGTCCTTATCCGAGAAGACTAGAGAGTCTAACCGTTTGCAGATGTCCTTACAAAGGCAGCACTTATTTTAAGACCCAGAGCGTTGATCCGGCCGGGGTTTGAAGCAGCGGCCTCCCGCTCGGCACACCGGTGCTTATCCAATTAAGCTAACCGGGCGGCGGGTTTTTTGGGGACATGAAAGAAAACATTAGTGAATTCACAATGCTTTACAATATATTTTTCAAATGCAGAAGTTAAGAGAAAATTTCAGTTTTCCCGGATGTTCGTTTTACTTAACAATTAATGAATGAGACTGAGTATCTTATGAAGAATTATGGAGATCGAGGAGGGTGTTATAACACCCTCCGAGCTCTCCATAATTTTTCCGATACGAAAGTCAATAATTGTTTTATTATTCATTCAAAATAATTCCTAGTTTAAAAACATAGCTAAAACACGCTTACTTCCATCTATGTTAAGTTCATATCTTCGATAGTGCATAGGGTTGTCCAGCTCCGCAAATATTCTCCAAATAGCAGATGTCGACCTTCGAGTTGTTTTCTTACTGTTCTTGCCATGTTTTTAGCTATTTTTTCCCCTAGTTCTTACTCTTGAAACGAGTAAAGTGTCCGACATTTTTGTTTTCACAACCAAAACAACGGCAACCTCGTCCTCAGGTCTTCTCGGTTAACGGTGCATTAACCTGCAAGGAAGCTGCACTTTTGACGTCATCGGTTGATCAATCGCAAAATTCTTTCAAATTCGGTCATCAGCAGCTGGTTATAGCGAATTATGCGAGTGCTTCTAGCCAACCAGAATCGGGGAAATATTTTGAATGAATAATAATGACCCTTCACTGATTTCGTGCAACCAGAAACACAAA